TCGACGATGGAGACTCACCATCGATCGATACCCATATCGGTCAGGTATATCGTTCACCATTTCGATATCAGTTTACACATTTGATTTTTCCAATGCTCTTACTCTGACTGATTATACACTGAGGACAGTGTATGATTTAAGTCTGGGGGGAGTTGATTACTGATGCTACTTTACCTCTTTTTGATCTTATTCATACAGTTTTCAAAAATTGGTTTTATTGAGTCAAGAAAGGGAAAAAATTTCAAAGTCTTACTTTTTATCTTACCACTCTTTAGCACCAGTCTTAGATTTGTTGATTGCAGAAAGTACTATAGATGCTAAAGTGAATCACCGATCACCTATGTCAACACTTTCATGATTGTCCGGAAGAACCAGAAGCTGATTTCCAACCTAACCTGACATCTATTTCTTGTCATGGGGCTTGGTATACAAGGGATCGGAATCCTCTTGCAAGTCTGGAAGGTAAAAGTCTCAAAAATTTTAGTTTCCTTCTTTCCTTCCTTCGGCATCCCCAGAGAATAAAAGACTGATATGATTTCCTGAGAGGCAGAGGGAGAGGTACATTACCTATGACCCCACTATTCTAAATCAAAGGAATGATCAAAGCGAGGGAGAGGTACATTACCTATGACCCCACTATTCGCTTACACTTTGTCAAGAAGATCAATAAGATGAACGTTAACTGTTCATTGGGATTGATATAAAAAAAAAAAGAGAGAAAGAAAGAGTTGGGATTCAGAGAAGGGGGATAAAGAAAGAAAGGGAACCAGGATGAGAATGCCTGAAACTTGTTTGAGTTGAATCCAAGTGTTCCTTGATCGATACTCCCAAGGTAAAGCCTACACCTTTATTTTTATGCATAAATGAAATCAGTAGAGGGGATAGTCATACAAGGAATGTTTAAGTTGATTGGCTAGATGTATTAGGTTGCTAAGCTAGGATATGGTATAATGTACTTCTGTAGTTGATAGGAATGAGATGTGGTTTGCAACAAAGTAAGAGGTTATGATTTTTAAGGTTAGATTTTGATTGAGTCCCTGCTGTTTTTAAACTTCTTTTCAAGACTAACTTAAAGTTTGCTTGAGGACAAGCAAAAGGTTAAGTCTGGGGGAGTTGATATACCATGATTTTGACCCGTTTTTGGTCATATTTTCTATATGTTTTTATTATAATTATCTATGTTTTGGAGTCTATTAGGTATGTTTTCAGGTTCAAGAGCATTTTGTCGTAAAGTGATGATTTAGGTGCCTTATGGAGCTTAAAGGAGAGTTTTACANTGCTTGAGGACAAGCAAAAGGTTAAGTCTGGGGGAGTTGATATACCATGATTTTGACCCGTTTTTGGTCATATTTTCTATATGTTTTTATTATAATTATCTATGTTTTGGAGTCTATTAGGTATGTTTTCAGGTTCAAGAGCATTTTGTCGTAAAGTGATGATTTAGGTGCCTTATGGAGCTTAAAGGAGAGTTTTACAAGTTCACTATGAAGATACGACATTGAGAGACACATATCGATCGATACACACCTTGTGTAATCGATCGATGACGATTCCGTAGAAGTTGAAGTCGAGATACTCCATCGATCGATGTACGCAATGTACCATCGATCGATACAGAGCGTGATGAGCAAGATTTACTTAGCCGACTTGAAACCCAAGTTCTCACCAAATTACAAGACTGCCCCTGACGAGTTTTTAACCTAATTGTACTCCATATTTATAGTTATGCCTATGAGCCCTAGAGACAGAAGGAGATCTATTAAGAAAGTTTTGTATTCTATTTTTACCTAAACAATAAAAGTATTTTCTTTTCATCTTATCCTTTTGCTATGAATCTCTTGGCTATGTCTGAGTAGATTCATCTGTTAGATTTGGGGTTCAAATAGTTATGAGGGATTAGCCCCAACTATGGATTGTTGAGTTGTTATATTCATTATCCAAATGAACCCTAATGCTTACTCTAGATTTGCTACCTAGAGTTATGATTATGGNTCTTGGCTATGTCTGAGTAGATTCATCTGTTAGATTTGGGGTTCAAATAGTTATGAGGGATTAGCCCCAACTATGGATTGTTGAGTTGTTATATTCATTATCCAAATGAACCCTAATGCTTACTCTAGATTTGCTACCTAGAGTTATGATTATGGAGTGACTAATCTAATAGTCATCTTCCTGAAATCATTTGGCAAAACCCAGACTCTATTAAGGCTCGATGCGACAGCCGGTCTGATAGAAATTCTCGGGTGAACACAGTTTCAATCCGATCTGATACTTTATATCGATCGATACTCCTCTAGAGTCATCGATCGACGACAGCATATATCGATCGACACTGCGATAGCAACATCGATCGATGCAGTCGGAAATCAGATCAATGGACGAGTTTAATAGCGACAGCTATAGATTTGTCTAAGGGTTGAAGTTCTCATATATTTGCAAGCAATTCGTTAAGACATCCATAGATTTATAATCCTGATTTTCTGAATAGTAACCTTGAATCTAACTACTTTCTTTCATTGTTTTCAAACCCAAAACCTATTTCCTTAGCAACTTACCATTGCTACCTATTTTATTTATTGTTTTAAAACCTTTTCAACCTAGCTTAATCACTTAGGATTATATCTTTTGTGGCTCTAGTTCCTTGTGGATTCGATCCCTAAGTACTACGATTGAACCTCTTATTTGAGAGAGTAAATCATTCCTTAGGGTTAAACATTTGAGTGACATCACTCCTACCGGGTATGTTTTGTTGTGTCTGTATGTTGATGACATGCTCATCATCGGTAGCAACAGAGATATCATCCAGCAAACCAAGAACATGCTTCATAGTTGGTTTGACATGAAAGACATGGTCTTGTGAATGTTATTCTCGGCATTAAAATCACAAGAACTCCCGACGGGATAATGTTATCTCATGACCATTATGCTGAAAAGATACTTGAGAAGTTTAAAAATTACTCAAGTGGAATTGCAAAAACTACAAGACACTCAACTGCAGTTAAATAAAAACACATATGAGTCAGTGTCGCAAGTGGAGTATGCAAGGGTCATCGTAAGTCTAATGTACTTAACCAATTGTACATGGCCCGATTTAGCGCATGCGGTCAACGCTTTAAGTCGAATACAAGCAATACATGTCAAATATACTAGAAAGCCATAACAAGGGTATTAAATTACTTATGATACACCAAAAGTTGGACTGCACTATGGTAAAGAGGCAGGAGTCTTAGAAGGATAAAGTGACACAAACTGGATATCACTCTAAAAACTATATGTCTTCACTCTTGGAGGTGTAGCGATATCTTGGAAATCTTCCAAACAAACACTATTGGCCAGATCCACAATGGAACCTGAGTGCATTTATTTACACACAACATCTAAATTATCAGAATGGCTTTGTAATCTTTGGAAGATATTCCAATGTGAGATAAACCAGTCCCATCTCTCTATGCATACATTGCGATAGTTAGTAAGCTATATCTTGGGCCCTAAATACTCTTTATAATGAAAAGTCGCGACACATAAGACGACGTCATAAGCCCATTTGATACTTGATCTCAAGCGGTGTAATATTTGTGAACTACATATAGTCAGTTGATAACCTTGCGGATCCATTTACTAAAGCTTTATAAAGAGATCAAATATTAAAATCATCAAAGGGAATGAGTTTATTGCCTAAGACTAAGGATGTTTGATGGAGACCCCACCATCAAGACTGGAGATCCCAATAAGTTGATTCAAGGGGACAACTAATTCAAACAATATCCGATAAAAGCATTGTAACCTGCTCATATCGCAAGATGATAGCATGGCTCCTGCAAGTATAAGGTTAAGCATTGGATTATAGTAAGATAAGACCATGGCCTCCAATACATGTATATAAAGTATAACATGGTACTTTATTGTGTTTCTGATAGGTGCATATAGCGATCATCTAATGAGTATGAAATGAGACCGTTTCTAAGAGATGATGAGGATATACCTTCCAAGTTAAATCAGGCATGTTCACGTGGTTTTATTTTGTGACTCACAAACCGTACAGAAATCATCTCACATATGGCGATTTATTGAATTAACGAAAGTGATCATATCACGACTCCACGTATTTATCTTTTTTCATATCGGTTTTCAATGTTTATTACTGCTTTATATTCTCGTTATCATCACATTTTCGATTCGTAATTTGTAATCTAGATTCTCGCGTCCTAACAAAACTTACCACGATTAATTAAGCTTTATGATATTCACAAGTCACAACAGATCATTCATATTTGATTCCTAGCTTGCAAATGGAACAAAGAACAGTAACGTCAACTAAAGATAACTGCAAGGTTGACAATTCTCAGAATTCAAGAAGAAAATGCGGAATCTGAAAGCATATAGACGAGGAAGATTACAAAGTTTTTTGGACTGCGTGAGATATTAATTTCTTTTTTCCCGTCGCGTCGCATGCATAAGAGTTTGTAGTAGTTTAAGGATTGATCTAAGATTTATCTTGGTAAATTCAACTTCCATATTTAATTCTTAGCTTGCAAGTGTGGTAACGATTCACAAGTAACGTCAAATGATGATCCCTTAGACGTTGAAATAATCGATAAATTATTACGTTTTGGGGAAGAAACTGCATTATAATATATGAAAAGATACCACACAGACACAGTAAATTGCAAGCATGCATACGTACGTGGCCGGTAGGTCCGCCTTTGCGTAGCCAGCTTTACGGAACGATGAAAAACATATTGTTCGTTTAAAGTGGGATATTTCTGTTCTGGGTCCTTATTAAATATGTTGTAAAGGTACATGAGAATTTTAATAATAGAAGATAAATTTCAGTGAATGGAAGTAACAGATTATGAAAGAAGTCTAGTCAATTTCTGAGTTTGCGTATATGCGTAAAAAGTACATTTTTATTCTTACAAAAGTTTTTCAAGGTGTACAATTCTGGTTGTGGATGTATATATAATAAACATAAAACGAACGCAAACGCATATAATGGATGACTAGTTGAAGGAAAATTTTTTATTCTCGCCGCATAGTATTGTAGCAGCTTGAAGAGCAAAGTAAGTAAGAATGAGATCGGCACCAGCTCGGCGTAAGCATATCAATGACTCCATAATAACTTTTTCCTCATCGATCATCTTCAGAAGTCCTGCGGCTTTTATCATTGAGTACTCACCAGAAACCTGGCAAGCTCCAATGGGTAACAGAGTTTGATCCTTCAATAAACGTATGATATCGAGAGAAGGAAGAGCTGGCTTCACCATTAGGATATCTGCTCCTTCAGCTTCGTCTTCTCGTGCTTCCATCAACGCCTCTCTTGAATTCGCTGGGTTTATCTGATAACTTTTAGTTACTCAAATTTAACAACAATAACAAAGCAATTAGTAGGGCAAGCAAAGCAAAGGAACATAATAAATACACACACAAGACAAAATTATCTACTTAGGTTGTACTAGTTTCAACCGCCCTTAATTTGAGTAAACTGATTTACATGTAAAAACAATTATTTATAAAATTTTCATATTTCAAAACACAAATCGTACTGACGAAAACACAAACCCTTTTATGTTTTCTTTTTATTGAAACACTAGGATAAGACCCGCGCCTTGCGCGGGATGAAGCTATTATTTCTATTATGTTTTGAAAAATGAAACAATAGTTCGGTTTCATTCGGATTAGAGGTGTTCAATCCGGATATCGGGTTTTGGTTCGGCTCGATTTTTTGGTATTTCGATCATTAAAATATAACTACTACTCTAAATCTATATGTACTTCAGTTTGATTTGGTTTATATACCATCGGTTTTCAGTTTATTCAATTTTATACCAAAAAAACATAATTATTTAGTTTGAGATCATATTATATATTATACAAATATATAATATGATCATATTTAGAGTCATATTGTCACATAGTCATTTATTAAAAAAAAATTATATATTTAAATAAAAGAATAAAAAACAAAAAAGGCTTCTATCATCTAATAAAATGATCAAATCTAGAATTAATATCAAAACACTAAATTTTGAAAATAAAAATAAAAAATAAAACAGAAGCATGAAAGAAATTTTTTTATATTCTTCCATATTTAGTGTTCATCAAACCAATATGTCTTCGATTGAACCCAACTCTGCTTGTTTAAAGATAAAAAAAAGTTGTAAAGAATTTCAACTAATTGTTGTCCATCAAATTTATAATCTTTACTTCAATTTAGTTACTGTTAAAAAAGCAAAAGATCAAAATAAGATGTCTAGCAATTGTAATAAATTGTTAGCTATTTACAAATTATAATTATAGTTCAACTCATGTAACAAATAGATATTCATGCGTCGTTATAAATATATACATATTTACATGTTTCAGTTTAATCGGTTATAAATCAAACCATATTCAAATCCTATGGTTTTTATAAAATCACATCCATTCGGTTTGGATGGTATATACCAAAAATAANATAGTTCAACTCATGTAACAAATAGATATTCATGCGTCGTTATAAATATATACATATTTACATGTTTCAGTTTAATCGGTTATAAATCAAACCATATTCAAATCCTATGGTTTTTATAAAATCACATCCATTCGGTTTGGATGGTATATACCAAAAATAACCATATTATCAATTGTTAATATCTTTTAAAAATATAAAAGATATTCAAATATTTTCAAATATTCATTTTTCAAAACATAATAAAAATAATAGTTTCATTGATATACCCGAACTAAGATATTAAAATCCTTGATAACAAAAAATTTCAATGTGAAAAATTGATTAAGTTTATAATTTATAAATGTTCTTGAAAATTTATTGAAAACTTTGAAATTAAAATATTTATCTAATCTTATATGGTATATAGTTTAATCTGTATATATATTTGTTTTATTATTGAATGATACTTGTTACTTATATAGTTTTAAAATCATGTATATCTTTTTATAATAAAAATTTTAAACTATTGATCATTAATTTTTAACATAATAATTTTAATAGTTTAGTTATTTATTCTCATTTTTTTAAAATTCAAAATATAACCTATACGAAAAAATTTAAAATTTAATTGTATAGCTAATTTGATTGTTTAATTTATTTTAATAATGTAAAATTAAAGAAAAATGATGGAGGATATATAAACTGTTATCAAATATTTATTATTAGAATCATTAAGTGTCATATATATATATATATTAGTCATTTATGGTAATTCCGTACGTTTTATTTATGGAAAGAAAATAAAATAGTAATTATATCTAGGTGATCAATCATTAAGTGTCATATATATATATATTAGTCATTTATGGTAATTCCGTAGATTTTATTTATGGAAAGAAAATAATGTAAACTCGGTTTGATGCGTGGGATATATATTAATGTAAACTCGGTTACATGCGTTACATGCGTCTGTAATTATTGTTTCCCTAGCAAATTTCAATTGAACCTAAAGCTGCCACGTCANATTTTATTTATGGAAAGAAAATAATGTAAACTCGGTTTGATGCGTGGGATATATATTAATGTAAACTCGGTTACATGCGTTACATGCGTCTGTAATTATTGTTTCCCTAGCAAATTTCAATTGAACCTAAAGCTGCCACGTCAGTTTAATTGGTATGCTAATTGATTGACAACTAAGCAAGGTTACTTTTTAATTATTATAAACTTGAGGTTACATCTTTTCAAATGTTTCTCAATTAATATATAGGGGATATTGGCAAAGTGTAAAGGAAAGTACTAAATGCAAACAAATTAAGTTTCTTCGTCTCGTAGCATTTGGTGTGTGCGTTTATGATTAGTAATTTAAATAATAAAGATTTTGGTTTCAATAGGAAATATATACTAATAACATGTTAAGGCAAAAATAAATAAACGATCAAGACTAGTGGTTTTACGTTTTCTTGTCCAATTGCACTTTGCGAAAACGGCCATACAATGAGCTTGTATACCTGTTGGTAGAGTAACAACAATTAATTAGATTGGAATTAATCGAAAGAAAATAAAGTAAGATGAATCTTTAAGTAGTATTTTACTTGACAGAGTAAGACATGATGGAAACATGGTGAAACCCCTCAGCATCTAGTGCTGCACGAACCGCACTAACACGACCATCTAACATTTCACTGGTGCAAACAACATCTGCTCCAGCTCGAGCCTGAGAAACTGCTTGTTTGTGCAGTTGGTGAATTGTTTCATCGTTCAATATCACACCTGCTTACAGATGAATGTTTCCGAAGTTACTATGGAAAAGGTCTTCTTATATTTAGCAAAATATAAAAATTACAAAAAACATTTCTTACCATCTTCGCTTGTGATCCCACCATGGCCACTGGAAGAGTACTCGTCAAAATTGACATCAGTGTAAATAACCTTTTGAAATTAAAAGAAAAGAATCAAAATCATGTTAAGGACCACTTCCTCTACCTAGTGAGCAAAAAGGACATAAATACTTGTATCTTACTAGATCAGGGAATCTATCCTTGAGAAGACCAACTGTTCGTTGCACTAGACCATTGTCGTTGAACGCCTCTTCTCCTGTTGGAGACTATAATAAAGGTTAATTTAATTATTAAATGTATGGGAACTTCATGTGGGTTGATTTTAAAGAAGCAGAAAGTGATGAAACCTTTAACGTATCAGGAACTTTAGGATACAACATTATGCTATTCACACCAACATCTCTTGCCCTTGCAACCTATATTCCTCCCAAAATACACACGGAAGGGTTGTTAGAAAAATCATGATCACAATGATTTACAAGTAAAATGAGACAGACTAAGTTTTTGAAAAAGACACAATACTCACTTCTTCGATGAGGCCGTGTCTCCAGCCAAGCATGTAACGTCCGGGCATCGTTTTTATCGGAATGTCTACCTCACCTGCGAGACCCAATGTATATAGTCACATTGAACCAAAGGAGAGATGTTAATGCACAAACTATTACAACGAAAACTCAAACTCACCTTGATGAATGAAGACCGGGTATATGAAATTATCAGGAGAGATATTAGTTTCTTGAAAGGCAGCTCTCTGAGTAGGGGACTTGCGGTTACGAAGTGCTCGTCGGCTTAGGTGCTAAACAACAGTTAAAGTCACTTTTATTCAGAATGTCAACTAATACGCCCCTTCAGCTACAACATTGGGTTAGAGAAAAATGTTTACATACAAGAGGTTGATGAATCACAGGTTCGGTGGGTTTACTCTTTACCAGAACCTCCTCGTGAGCAATTACCGGCCATGTCATGGAGGAGTCGATCCTTTGCAGTTGACAACAAACTTCTGTTCTTCGGAAAGGACTGATTCTCATGTTATATGATGCTGCTTTCAGGCCCAAGTAACTCTTCTGCTCAAACCCTTTCATTGTCGGAATTTTGCAAGGAGATCTAAACATAGATGACGTCATGTATGTATGCTGAAAATATGAAAAAAAACAAACTCTTATATAAAGCAAGATGTAATACTCAGAGAGTAATACGTCTGACGTCTGATTTATAGTCCTTTTTAGTTTGCTCTGAGAGTGAAATCTGTGAAGGTTATACTATTCTTTATTTTGGGTCGCGAATATCGATTGACATTAACGTGCAGCTGATATACATGTAACATGTAGTAAAACTGTCTTATTCAAAGTTCATTGTGATTTGACTTATAAGCATTTATCTTATCTTAAGTAATCTATGATATATATTTTGGTGTCGACAGATCTTGCAGATTTTTTTTTTTTTTTGATACAAGATATGACAGATCGTGTAGTTGACAAATTTTTGTATGAGTTTCAATATTAGTCGTGTTAATCCAGGTTTATCCACATAAATAAAATAGTAATGTATGTTGTTAAAAAATGTATTTTAACTGAAATAATAAATAATAATAAAAATTAAAACAAAGTACAGTTAAAAAAAAGGGCAATTCTTTCAAATAGTCATCTTTTAAATTTTTTTTACAAAAATAGATCTCACAAATTAAAATGACCAAAATAGCACTTTTTACTTTGAAAATTTTAAATTTTTTTTTTAATTTGAAACCCTATCTCAAAATCCCACTCCTCAACTCTAAACAAAAAAGTCTAGAATTAGTTAACCCAAGGGGTATAAATATATATATTTATTAAACATTTAAGTGTTATTTTGGTCATTTTAATTATTAAAGTCTATATTTATGATAAAAAAATTTTAGGTCTATTCTTGTCATTTTCTCTAAAAAAAAACACTAAGTACAATTATTATTAATCGTGTTAATCCCAGATTAGTCGTTTTTGATCCAAGCTTTATTATAGTTATTAACACTCTAGGACAGATTCCATGTTTTTATTACACAATAAGACAGTTTAAGCTACCAAGGTAGTTTATCTCAACTACAACCAAACTAGAATTTGATTTTATAACTAGTGGGACCTAACATTTTCTCTTTTTTTTTTTTATCTTCTTTTTCTTCTTCTTCTGTCTTTGCTAATTTTTTCCTTTCTAACAAAAATAAATCTATAAATTTTATTATTTCTAAATCTTCCCAAACAAGAAGAAGAAAACATGAAGATCTCATAATATTTCAGTTCATTACATCTTCAAAAATTTAAATTTACACCATTTTATCTTTTGTTTTCTGTACCACTGATTTACATTTTTTATTGCAGATCTATATATCCAAAAAATCAATGCAAAACTATCTGGTTTTTTTTTTCTTCTTAGATATGTGATGAAGCGGAGATACCTTGGAAATAGCGACGAATCTGTGGTGGATCTTGTTTTATTATCATCCATCAGATCATCTTCTGAGTTGTGACCGGTTCGAGCTTCTCCGAAAAAGCTTGATGAGCAACAATGGCCACTTTTGGTTTTATTTCACATATGATCCTCGATTTTTTAGTATATTTATTTATGCCCCAAAACTTTCTGAGTTGCAAATATATCTTTTGCAAATTGATTCCTGAATTTGTAATTGTACATACCAAACCTTCCATGATTATACAAATGGATCCTTGAACTTTTAGAATTTTTATGTTCAGCTTTTAACACATGTACACCACCAATATTTAATGTACACATGTACACTAACGAATGTACACAACTTTACAACATGTTGAACATCTAAGATGTATCTCAAACATATGTGAACGTGTTGAAAGGTTGTTGTTTTTTGTACAATGTGGTTTTGTACACTCTATGTCATGTAGATGTGTACATAGAAGGTGACTGAAAAGATGTGGTGTCATATATATGGATTGAATGTTGATTACTCAAAATGTTAAAATAAATACGTACATATGTACTTGAATCATGTCTCACTAATGATTCCAAACCCATAACTCGAGCAAATGATTTTTTAAAAACTATTTGTTGTGTACACTATATCATGTACATAAATATTCCATTATCCACGTGTACAGTGGTTAATATGTACATTGGTTAACTTGTACAGTAATATATGAATATCAGATAATTTATTATTTTATTTAGATAAATATTAAACATGTAAACTTTCCAATCTAGAGTAGTACCAATCTAGAGAAAAAAAATATGTACACCGATTTATTTGTACATTGTTCAAATTATGATAATGATTTTAATAAGTTTTAGTTAGTTGTTCAAAGAAGAAAAAACAATCACATATGTACATTTAGAAATTATTCAAGTTGTCACCTAGGATAAAATTGAAAATTTGGTAATTCATTTAAACTAGTCATCCATAATATATTGTCTCTGAAATCATTGAATTTCTTTTGCAATTTTGGGTTTGCTTCAGTGACATTTTCAAATAAAATATTTGAGGTATAACCAAAAATAAAATATCTTAAAACCATTTCTTGTGTACGTTGGAAAAAGTGTGTGTAGCATAATGTACATGTGTCTTACACTAATTTTACTAATTTTTTTTATTTGGTCTCATACTTCCAAATGTGCATATATATATATATATATATATATGCATCTTAAATATGATTAAAACGAGGTAAATGAGATGGTAAATAGTTTAAAGCATTTCTTGTGTATGTTGTTTCTAATAATATTTGTATAAACATCATATGTATTTGATACTATGTACATAAAATTTCTTTATCCATGTGTACACCATTTCATATGTACACCAATGAATTGAGTAATGATTCACATGTATACATAATTTTCCTTGTCCACGTGTACATAAATTCCCTAAAGCTTACATGTTCATTAGTTCACTTGTGAACCAAATAAGTTTTGTATCACAAATTCAAAAAATGCATTACAAATGCATACTTACACTATGAAACATGTATACTATGAGGTAAATGTGCATATGGACACTGAGGCAAATGTGCATATGGACATGTACACTATAATAGACAAAGAGAACAATGTTGATAATTTTAATAATTTAAATCATGAATGTACAAAGAAAATGAAACCTGTAAAATAATACAAACATACTACTCAGGTTTTAGAGAAAGTACAAAAGAAATAAAACTATAATTTTAAAAGTCATATGTTGTGTACACTATACCATGGAACAAATATTTCATTATCCACATGTACAATGATTCATATGTACACTATTTAACTTGTACAATAATATACGGGTATCAGATAATTTCACTACTCTTATGTACATAAACATTAAACATGTAAGCCTTCCAATCTAGAGCAGTACCCCTGGTTTCTTGATTTGTTTTCTTCATTATCGTTGTACATAGTGAGATAAAATGACCTTCATTATCAATGTCCACATGTACACTTTTTATAAAAAAATCACATGTACACTGATTCTTTTGTACACTACACAAATTATGATATCTGATAATTCTAATGATTTTGAGTATCTAGTTATAGTTCATTTTGATCATATTAGGTTTGGTTTATGTGTGTATATTGCATTTGTTTATTTATTTGCATATCACATTGGATAAGAATGAAAATTAGAAGTTTAGAGTCAAAATTTTAGAGAAATATATGTGTTTAAAGAGTTTGGGATCAAAATCGAAATGATGAAAAACTAGGGATCAAACTTGCAAAAAGATAAAATTATCCATGGTTGTTCTCAAGCTTTCGTGATAATTGAAGGTGCGTCAGAGATGAACAATGTCACAAGGAAGATAAACCTCGACGATCTAATAAGGAGGAGCTGAGACACGAATGTGATGGAGAACCCTAATATGTTGGCGGTGTCCCATGTGAAGGGTCTTCTGCGTCGTTTGTCATCTACGTATGTCTCCACCGTCGTCTATGTCTCCGTCGTCACTATGTCAAAGTCCATCACGTTTCTACAATTGGTGTCGTTATCATTTATGTCATTGTTACACCATCATCAGAAATATGTCTTGACCTATCTTAAAAGATAGATTAAATAATAGAGATAATAATTATATGCAAGTTTTTTCGAAAAAAACAATGTGAAGAATCAGATTTTCATTTAAAAAGAAAATAGAAAGGTTGGAAAGAAGAAGACGAAGAAGAAAGAGAGAAGGAAACAAAATAATATAAAATTAGCATTTTATTGTTTACTTGGGCTTTAGTTAAATTTCAATTGTTTCACTAACTAGAAGAAGTAAAAGGTGTATTGGAAGAAGATAAAGTGTCTGAGTAGCATAAACTGCTCTAAAGTGTTATTAAAAACTTGAAACTGTCTTACAGTGTAATTTTTTTCTTATTAGAGAGAGAATACATTGTATTTTACTTTCCTATGTGATTTACCTCTCCACATGTGTTGTACCTCTCCACATGTGATGTACCTATCCACATGTGCAATGTATCCATCCACATACACGACCTACACTATTTTTTTTTTTTACGAAAATAGGGCTTTTACGTACACGACCTACACTGTTAAACCCTATGTTCCGTTTTAGTTGGTGCTTAAGGTTTTTACACAACAATTAAAAAAATATAATTTTTAATACAATTTATCTTGGTTTTATAAAGTAGGGTTCAATAAAAATGATTTCAATCAATAGAAAAAGATGCAGCATTTTGTAATTGGTTACAAATTTCAATGACATTAAATTGTATCTAGAATAGTGAGAACATAATTTATTTTGCAACAAATAAATTTTCTTTAAACACCAAATAAATTGAGCTTGAGGGAGTATTTTGTTAATTACTGATTATATACATGACCCACAATGTCAATTATTTTGTTAATTACTGATTTATCTTAATTAAACATAGTGAAACTGAACCAAAGAGGAAATTTTTAAAAAGAAATTTTCAAGAATATGAATATTTTTCTGTACAAATTTGGAAAATTGTATTTTAACACTAATAAAAATACAATATGTTAGGGCAACAAAAACTGTTCTTGGTGATATTATCAGGAGAACAAATAAAAAAGAAGAGTTATCTATACTATTAAAATTGAAGTACATTTTGTATTTAGCCCTGATTTTTCCACAATAAT